TCGCATGTGGATGGAGGAAGTGTCTCGCATGTGGATGGAGGAAGTGTCTCACATGTGGATGGAGGAAGTGTCTCACATATGGATGGAGGAAGTGTCTCACATATGGATGGAGAAGTGTCTCGCATGTGGACTTTAGATCTATATATATACTTGGATGTAGTGGTGCACTGGGACTTTAATATTTACATTAGATGCACTGGATTTACGTTTATTACCACTATGTTTTGACCGATATCGGTTCTATTTGGAAGGTTTACATTTCTGTTTGGTGCACTATTTGCGCAGCATCCCACTATTATAGCACAGGTTGTAAGCATTGGTTTAGCACGTATGACATATGGTCATGTTATAATTCTCCCTTGGCATAGGGAAACACGGAGGAACCATTAATAATATTTTTCATAGTACAGGCGTACCTCGGTTTATGAACCCCTCGGTTAACGTAATTTTCGGTTTACGAATAAAAATCCATTGAAAATAATGCCTCGGTTTACTAATTGTTTTCGCAATATGAACAGATTAATTAGTTTTCAGTGCATTTACAAATATTTTTTTTATTCATGTCCCTGTACAGTGCTATGCCTTTAAAGTACAGTTTATAGAGTTTTGAACAGATATATAGTTTTTTTGACTTTTTTCTGACCTCCGGAACAGAATAATTGTTTTTCAATGCATTTACAAATTGTTTTTTTTCTTAATCATGTACCTGTAAAGTATTTATGCCTTTAACCTCCCTAGCAGTCTGATTATTTCAGATTTTTGGTGCTGAAAGCGGTACCATTTTTTTGCATGGAAATATGTATTTTTTTTATTGTAGGCTTGTAATTTAGGAATAACTCACTGAAATCTAGTAAACATCCCGGGTACGATAAAATTTGAAACCCGAAATCATAAATTATAATTTAGTAAATAATCATAAAAAATAACAATATAATAATACATTTAATTCAATAATATAATCAAACCAAAAACAGTGAAATTTGAAATATAGAGCGCCAAGTTCGCACATCGCTGAGCAAAGTCGCAGAATCGTTTTCAGTGTCTGATGAGGAATTTCCCCCACAAATCATTATCACTCAATTCTGCAAGTGGTTCTGATTTACTATCGCTGTTCTCTAGCCGGTCTAAAACCGCTTTTGACGTAAAGGGACACTTTTGGACGCCATGGACGTTTCTCAGTTTCCAGGCAGAAAGAACAGTAAAAATGCAGGCAGGGCGCCGGACAAAGCACTCGGGACAAAATGTATGTGAAATGGTTTGATACAGGAATATTTTACCATGTAATAATCGTTTTTAAAAAAAGACATTTTTTTTAATTTTCAAATTTGCCGCCGGTTCCGGCGCCCGTACGTCCCGACGTCACAGGGACCGGAACACGGAAGCCGGCATCGGCCGGAGGAGATGGCCGGGGACGCTGCAGGGGACGCATCGCGGGATCGCAGGACAAGGTACGCGCTGCAGGGAATCCCTATGCAACGCTGCATGGTAAGCCCGAGTGTAGCTCGGGGTTACCGCTTTTGGTACTGAAACTCTACCCCGACTACACTCGGGAATACCGCCAGGGAGGTTAAAGTGCACTTTTTAAAGAGTTTTGAACAGATAAAATTTTTGTTTTCTGAACTCCGGAACGGAATACTGTAATTGGTTTCCAATGCATTGACAAATTAATTTTTAATCATGTCCCTGTACAGTATTTATGCCTTAAAAGCGCACTTTATAAAGGATTTTGAACAAAAAAACTGTAAAGTATTTATGCCTTTAACCTCCCTAGCGGTATGATTATTTCAGATTTTTGGTGCTGAAAGCAGTAAATTTTTTTGCATGGAAATATTTTTTTTTTTTTTTGTAGGCTGTAATTTTTAGGAATAACTCACTGAAATCTGTCCGAACAAGAGTCTAGTAAACATCCCGGGTATGATAAAATTTGAAACACAAAATCATAAATTATAATTTAATAAATAATCATAAAAAATAAAAACAAACTTTTTTTTTACTTTTTTCTGACCTTCGGAACGGATTAATTGGTTTTCAATGCATTCCTATGGGAAACTGCATTTCTGTTTACTATTTTTTCGCAATACGAAAAGTCTCGCAGAACGAATTAAATTTGTAAACCGAGGCACGCCTGTATTTTTCATATTTATATGTCATATAGAGATCACATTTACTTATTTGTGGGTTACTATCACAAACGAATTGTGGCATTTTTTTTCAATAGTGGCAGTGCAGCATTTATTGACGCTGGCTATCATGCCTCTTGGAGTCTTGTCTGTGGCTGTCAGTCTTGCAAGGTGTCATGGGACTTGTAGTTCATCAACACCTGGGGGGCCATTGTTTGGAGACTATGCACCCATGCACCTAGGTTTTTTGGGTTTGAGGATATTGAGCCATTACTCCCACCCCAGAGGAGCTGACACTCTAATGTCACAGCATAGGCACACAAGGGATCGTTCTGAATAAAGAATGAGAACCTGAAACTCCGGCGCTGCAAGGCGTGGGCACTCATTGGGCACACATTTGTACCAGTGGTGCTGCATCCAGCGTTGGTGCGATTGTACAATATTCACATTCGACTTTTACATGCCATTCATGTAGACTCAGTTCTCTTGCCCCCGTATGATGGCCTTGTAATGATATTGATGGGAACGTGAGTGGAGGATTTGGAAGTGCTGCATTGAAAAGGTCATGGAAGCTCATCTTAGTTGTTTTGAGCTAAATTAAGAACAGGAACGATGTGGACGGATGGGTTCGCACAATGTGTCCTTGTTAGAATGTGTGTGTGGACCTTCATGGCTTGGTCATATTCTTAGCATGTGTTCAAATCCTTAAAGAGAACCTGTCATAGCTGGGCTTCCGAATACCAAGGGGTTGAATTACTGAAGGCAAATGGGTCGTGCACTTTGCAAAGTGCAGTTGCTCCAGAGCTTAGTAAAGGAGCAGAAGCTCTGCTGACTTTCATCAGCCAATCACATGCAAGTAAAAATGCTTTTTTTTTTATTTTCCTTGCACGTGATTGGGTATTCTTTGCAATGTGAAGCTTTACCCCATTTACTAAACTCTGGAGCAACTGCACAGTCTATTTGTCTTTAGTAAATCAACCCCTTAGTCTTCAGTGCTCATAATAGTGCTGGCCTCCTATGAAGTGATTTCTTTTTTTGTCTCCTTTATTTACTGAAACGTAATTACTGATAACACACACCGTCTCCAGAGTGTGCATAACATATTGGTCTGCCTACAAGGTAATGTGGGCACCATTTACAGAAAGCCCGCGTTTCATCCCACAGTCACCCCTCATTTATTGATTTATACTTGCTAAGTGAGTAGGCAACAATTGTCATTGTGCTAATATCGTTTGCACGATACGTGGGTTTATTTTGAGTGTGGGATTCCCAAGCAACTGTGATGTCGGAAACCTAAAGGAAGTATTCTAGAGTTTCTGGGAGATTGGGGATGGGAATCCGACAACTGGATTAAGGAGGGTCTGAGGGATTACAGCTGGGATTCCCAGCACCCAGATTATAGAGGGTCTGGGGGATTAGAAGTGGGATTCCCAACACTCGTATTATAGCTGGTCTGGGGGATTAGAAGTGAGATTCCCAACACTTGGATTATAGCGGGTCTGGGGAATTAGAAGTGGGATTCCCAACACTCGAATTATAGCGGGTCTGGGGGATTAGAAGTGGGATTCCCAACACCCAGATTATAGAGTGTCTGGGAGATTAGAAGTGGGATTCCCAACACTTGGATTATAGCGGGTCTGGGGAATTAGAAGTGGGATTCCCAACACCCAGATTATAGGGTGTCTGGGGGATTAGAAGTGGGATTCCCAACTCGGATTATAAAGTGTCTGGGGGATTAGAAGTGGGATTCCCAACTCTTGGATTATAAAGTGTCTGGGGGATTAGAAGTGGGATTCCCAACACCCAGATTATAGAGGGTCTGGGGGATTAGAAGTGAGATTCTCAACACTTGGATTATAAATGGTCTGGGGGATTAGAAGTGGAATTCCCAACACCCAGATTATAGAGGGTCTGGGGGATTAAAGGTGGGATTCCCAACACCCGGATTATAGAGGGTCTGGGGGATTAGAAGTGGGATTCCCAACACTCGTATTATAGCTGGTCTGGGGGATTAGAAGTGAGATTCCCCAACACTTGGATTATAGCGGGTCTGGGGGATTAGAAGTGGGATTCCCAACACCCAGATTATAGAGTATCTGGGAGATTAGAAGTGGGATTCCCAACACTTGGATTATAGCGGGTCTGGGGAATTAGAAGTGGGATTCCCAACACCCAGATTATAGGGTGTCTGGGGGATTAGAAGTGGGATTCCCAACTCGGATTATAAAGTGTCTGGGGATTAGAAGTGGGATTCCCAACTCTTGGATTATAAAGTGTCTGGGGGATTAGAAGTGGGATTCCCAACACCCAGATTATAGAGGGCCTGGAGGATTAGAAGTGGGATTCCCAACTCTTGGATTATAAAGTGTCTGGGGGATTAGAAGTGGGATTCCCAACACCCAGATTATAGAGGGTCTGGGGGATTAGAAGTGAGATTCTCAACACTTGGATTATAAATGGTCTGGGGGATTAGAAGTGGAATTCCCAACACCCAGATTATAGAGGGTCTGGGGGATTAACGGTGGGATTCCCAACACCCGGATTATAGAGGGTCTGGGGGATTAGAAGTGGGATTCCAACACTCAGATTACTGAATGGTCTGGGGGATTAGGGGTGGGATTCTCAACACTCTGATTATAAATGGTCTGGGGGATAAGGGAATGGGATTCTCAACACTCTTGAAATGGTCTGGGGGATTAGGGATGGGATTCTCAACACTCTTGATTATAAATGGTCTGGGGCAGGAGCGGACTGACCATTTGGAAACTCGGGCACTGCCCGAGGGCCCGGGGTCAGTAGGGGGCCCCATGAGATGCCCCTAGTACCCTTTTCATAGGCTTTTTTGAGTTTGGGCAAGGACACAGGGGCCCCATGATCTGCTATTGCCCGGAGGCCCCATGAGTTGTCAGTCCGCCCCTGGTCTGGGGGATTAGGGGTGGGATTCTCAACACTCTTGATTATAAATGGTCTGGAGGATTAGGGGTGGGATTCTCAACACTCTGATTATAAATGGTCTGGGGGGGGTGGGATTAACACTCTGATTATAAATGGGGGGATTAGGGGTGGGATCTCAACACTCTTGATTATAAATGGTCTGGGGGATTAGGGGTGTGGTTTATTAGTGGTGGGATCTCCAACACCCGAATCACCTGAGGGTTTTTTGTTTGTTTTCTTCTTGGGGGGATTGCCAGGCAGGCTGTGGAAGGGGTCCTACCAGGTAGCTGTACGGGGCCCCACAATTTCTAATGGTGGACCTGGTCAATGGATCAGGAGGTATGGGAACAGAAAAGGTTTTCTGTTGTTCCTCCATAGCGGAGGGGTCACACACAGCTCCAGCTTGGTCTATAATTAGAGCTCCCTAAGTGGCCGGCCTCATCATTGTGACCTGGGGGGGGGGGGGGGTTTAGCGATGTTAGGTGGCGGATTATAAAATGATAACGCAGCACTTCCCCAGATTTCTAGGAAGAATGTTTTGTTGGTGTGAAATAATTGGTGCTGTTCCCTTTTGTCGGGGGAGATCACGCATGCTGAGCCCGGCACGCAGCCCTCGCCTCTCCTCGCTCCCTCGCGCTCCATCTGTCGCATGTTCAGCACGAAGCATTGGAAGGGAACTGTCAGGATAGATTTTGAAGAAATTCTTTTTTTTTTCCTGTAGACCTGTGACCTTCAATCTGTGAGGCAGACGGCGCTTGCGAGGCCAGCTATTGAACCACAAAAGACATGCGAGGCTTTTCATGCTAAATTAATGATCTTTCAGTTTAAATCGACTAAATGCGTTTGAGGTGCGATAAACCAAAAGGTGTTCAGAGTCTTCCAGTTTGTGTTCTTTAAACGCTTCCTGACCGCCCTAGAGCACAAATACTGCTACTGGGCGGCAGGGCTGCGCAAAATCACGCGTGTGGTGTGTGTGTATGTATGTATGCATTTCCGGGTAGGGCGCCTTTGGTGGCTACAGCTGTTGATCACCGGATCCCGGCCAGTGATTCCCCGCCAGCACCCGGCAATCGCCAAGTATCACTGACAGGGGAGAGGTCTGTATAGAAACAATACAGATCTCTCCCCTGTCAGCACCAGCATGCTACTTTGTATTGCTCTGCTTAGCAGAGCAACACAAAGCAGCATACTGACATAGTAAAACACTCCCCCAGCACCCTTTGATCGACCCAGATGTTAACCCCTTCCTGCCCAGTGCCATTAGTACCGTGTCAGTGCTTTTTATTAGCACTGATCGCTGTATTTGGCTCCATGCACACGGTGCATTTTAATAACGCTGGTAATGTTAGCTGCGTAAAGTCGCATTAAATACGTGTGTTTTTTAGTGCTTTTGCATTAGCGTTTTAGTGGCGTTTTGCCGCATTTTGCCGTTTTTTTGCATTTGCGTCTTTTTTTTTTAACCCCCCAAAATATTTTTTTTTTTGCCCAAACAAACAGCCAAAAATGCCGGTTTTCCGTGTTTTGCTGCATTTTTCAGCATTAGTCCTCATGCACACGGGATGTTTTGATAACACTGGTAACGTTAGCTGTGTAAAGTCATGTTAAAAATGTGAGTTTTTCACCTTTTTTTAGCATTTTTGCATTAGCGGGTAGTGGCATTTTGCCATGTTTAGCGGCGTTTTCCCACGTCAAAGAAGTCCAAAAATACCAGTTTGTGGCGTTTTTATTGTGTTTTGCTGTGTTTTTTCAGCGTTAGAGCATTTTTACAGCTAAAAAACTGCTAGTTTTAACTAGTCCTGGGTTTTTTTTCCAGCCAAAATATGCTGATTACAGTCTATGTGTGTATGAACACATAGGATAACATGCTGGGGATGGACACACAAGATAACATGCCGGGGATGGACACATAGGATAACATGCTGGGGATGGACACATAGGATAACATGCCGGGGATGGACACATAGGATAACATGCCGGGGATGGACACATAGGATAACATGCCGGGGATGGACACACAAGGATAACATGCCGGGGATGGACACATAGGATAACATGCCGGGGATGGACACATAGGATAACATGCCGGGGATGGACACATAGGATAACATGCCGGGGATGGACACATAGGATAACATGCCGGGGATGGACACATAGGATAACATGCCGGGGATGGACACGTAGGATAACATGCCGGGGATGGACACGTAGGATAACATGCCGGGGATGGACACATAGGATAACATGCCGGGGATGGACACGTAGGATAACATGCCGGGGATGGACACGTAGGATAACATGCCGGGATGGACACGTAGGATAACATGCCGGGGATGGACACGTAGGATAACATGCCGGGGATGGACACACAGGATAACATGCCGGGGATGGACACATAGGATAACATGCCGGGGATGGACACATAGGGATAACATGCCGGGATACACATGGATAACACGCCGGGGATGGACAACATAGGATAACATGCCGGGGATGGACACATAGGATAACATGCCGGGGATGGACACATAGGATAACAGGCCGGGATAGACACACAGGATAACATGCCGGGGATGGACACATAGGATAACATGCCGGGATAGACACACAGGATAACATGCCGGGGATGGACACACAGGATAACATGCCGGGGATAGACACACAGGATAACATGCCGGGGATGGACACATAGGATAACATGCTGGGGGGTTTACTGGCTGTAGAAAAGAAATCCAAAAACATCCGCTGTAAAAACGTCCCGTGTGCATGAGGATTTAGTGTCACTGGGGAAGTCAGTTGCAGTTAGTCAGTCCCCCCCAGTGTCAGAATGCCCACTGCAGTCCCGAACTCCCGTTCGCTAATCACCGCCATTACTAATATGAAAAAAAAAATTAAATTCCCAGTATCTATACCGCCATTTGTAGACACTATAACTATAACTTTTTTTTTTTTTCAAAATTGTGGGGTTTTTTTGCTTGTAGTGCAAAAAATGAAAAACACAGGGGTGATCAAATACCACAGAAAGAAAGCTCCATTTGTGGGGAAAAAAGGACATAAATGTAATTTGGGTGCAGTGTTGCATGACCGCGCAATTGTCAGTCAAAGTAACGCAGCGCCGTATCACAGAAAATGGCCTGGTCAGGAGGAAGGGGGGGGGGGGGGAATCCTCTGGAGGGCAAGTGGTTAAGACGCAGCCACAGCCTGAGTAGAAAAGCCTGTCCCTGCATGCTATAGAGAAGCTGACCCTTGCTGTCTGTGAAGAAGCAGTGGTCTCTCTGCAAAGGTCTGACATGCCCCCTGCTGCATCAGAGCTAGACCTCTCCAATCAGAAAAACTCATGTTCCCACTGGCCAATCAGAACTGATCCTTTGATTATGATGTGCTTTGCCCCTCCATGTGCACCTTGCTGTAAAGGCCAGTTGTAGATTGGGGTGGTTGCCACGTTTTTGTACAGTTGGAAGAACTGTCTGTAGCCCTGAAAATGCAGAGAGGTCTGTATGCAAATCCATCCTGCCCTAGGAAAGCCCACTCCTCCAGACTGTCACTTACCCATCAAGGCATTTTGACTCCCTACAGTCAGTTTGCCTCTTGCATCAGGGCTAAGGACTCTTGAGAGGCATACGGAGGCAGGGTGCTGTGATGTTTTCAGGAAGCTATGTACAGCACCCAGCTGGCCCCTCCCACCAGCCATGATCAGCCTGCATTGCCTAGAGAAGCACAGAGACCCAGTGATGACATCACTGGGTTCAACATAAGGTATGTAATGAAAACTGGTTTAATATTAACATTTTTTTAAATTGTTGAGGGGGAAAAGGAAAACCAAAGAAGGCAACAACTAATCAGATTAAACAATGACTGAACAGAGCTGTGGTGGAGCAATAGGAAGGGAAGTGTAAACTGTTGGAGAGGGATGCAACCAGGGGCGGACTGACCATTTGGAAACTCGGGCACTGCCCAAGGGCCCGGGGTCAGTAGGGGGCCCCATGAAATGCCCCTGGTACCTTTTTCATAGGCTTTTTTGAGTTTGGGCAAGGACACAGGGGCCCCATGATCCCCTATTGCCCGGGGGCCCCATGAGTTGTCAGTCCGCCCCTGGATGCAACTGTTCCCTTGTCATGAATGGGCAAAGCACAGAAACGAGTTAAGCAGATTACATTCATATATATTTAACATAAAACCCCTGAAGGTCGCTGTAATTTTAGTTGTCAGATATGATGTTTTGTAACTAATGAGGGCAGGTTGTTGCCTGTGAAGTCTTGGTGAGAAAAGATTTGTTACATTTTAACCACTTCCAGTCCGGACACTTTCACCCCCTTCCAGTCCAGGCCAATTTTCAGCTTTCACACTTTGAATGACAATTGCGCGGTCATGCAGCACTGTACCCATATGAATTTTTTAGCATTTTTTTAGACAGATAAAACTTTATTTTGGTGGTATTTATTTACCGCTGGGATTTTTTTTTTTTGCTATATAAATGAGTCCAAAAATGTTGAAAAAAAGTGTTTTTATTATAAAATGTTGCAAATACATAATCTTTCTTCATAAATCTTGGCCAAAATGTATTCAATTATCTTTTTAGTAAAAAAAAATAAAAATAAAATTAGTTTATAACCAAAAATTATAATTTTTCAAAAACATTTTTTTAAATTTTTTTTTTAATATTATTTGTTTTTGTTTTTTTACATACTGTCACCCTAGCAGTACAATGTCACCATAGTGACACTGTACTACTTATGGGGGTGATGAAGATTTTTTTTACACTGATTGCTTTTACACCCATAAAGGCTGTAAAAGCAATCATTTCTCCTTCTCTCTGGCTGCATTCTTGCAGCCATTGAGAAATACTGTGTGAGCTGTGATTGGTCACAGCTTGTCACATGGTACAAGGCTGTTGTGAACAGTCCTGTACCATGTGTTCTCGATGATCATTCACAGATTTCACACGTAGTAAGCAATGATGTCAGAAGTGACATCTTGCTCACTACTCTGCATGTGATCACTGATTGGCCAATCAGTGATCACATGATCGGGATCTCGCACAGAGGTCCCATCCGACAATCGGTGTTCCACTGTGTCCGAAGGACACAGCGGGCACCAGATCGCGGTGCTGTGCACTCCCAGGGGCCACCCACCCCTGCACTGCCACCATCTGGCCCTTTATATACAATGGCCGGATGAGAGGTGGTTAACCACTTGAGCTCCTGAGGATTTACCCCCCTTAATGACCACGCCTCTTTTTGCTACTCGGCGCTGCACTAATTCAACTGATAATTGCGCAGTCATGCAATGCTGCACCCAAACGAAATTTACGTCCTTTTTTTCACACAAATAGAGCTTTCTTTTGGTGTAATTTGATCACCTGTGCGCTTTTTATTTTTCACGCTATAAACAAAAAAAGCCCAAAATTTTGAAGAAAAACAATATTTTTTACTTTCAGCTATAAAAAATATATAGTAAACTCAAAGTTGGTTATAAATTTAGGCCAAAATGTATTCTGCTCCATGTTTTTGGTAAAAAAAATCCCAATAAGTGTATATTGATTGCTTTGTGTGGAAGTTATAGCGTCTACAAACTATGGTATAGATACTGCAATTTACTCCATTTTTCTGCTATACAGCGCTGCGCTAGTTTAACGGACAATTGCGCGGTCATGCAATAAGGTACATAAATGAAATTTACATCCTTTTTTTCCCCACAAATTGAGCTTCTTTCGGTGGTATTTGATCGCCTGTGCGGTTTTTATTTTTTGCGCTATAAAAAAAAAGGCTGACAATTTTGAGAAAAAAAAACAATATTTTGGACTTTTTGCTATAAAACATGTCCAGTAAAAAAAATGCAAAAATCAAATTTAGTAATAAATATCTGCCAAAATGCATTCTGCGACATGTCTTTGCTAAAAAAAAACCCAATACATGAAAATTAATTGGTTTACGTGAAAGTTATAGTGTTTACAAATGGCGGGAAAGATACTGGGATTTTTTAGTTTTTTTTTTTTTTTTATACTAATAATGGGGCGATCAGCGACTTATGGCGGGACTGCGGGACTGCGGCGGACATTCTGACATTGGGGGGTATTGACTTGGGGTCACTGACATCCCCAAAAACACTAATACAGTGATCAGTGCAAAAAAAAAAAAAAACGCTGACACTGTACTAATGGCAATGGGGAGGAAGGGGTTAACTTTATTTTGCAGGAAGGGTTATAGAGTGAGGGGAGTGTTTTACTAGGGGGCGGGGGGTGTACTGGACGGGACAGGGCTGATCGAGAAAGAGAAACTGTTCTTTCTCGATCAGCTCATCCTCGAGCTGACAGGGAAGTGGCAGACAGCACAGCTACTGCAACTGTGCTGTCTGTCACTGTTTGCCGTCGATCCCTGGGAAACAGCCGCTAAGGACCGGCTGTGACCCAGCGACTGACATCCGCGGCGGTGATCGGCGGGACAGATAGGGCGGCGGCGCGCCTCGCGCGCACCCGCTATTTGTTTACAAAACACGTGTTTTAAAACGTGGTTTTGCCTGCGAGTGCCGCCCTGCCGCCGTATATCTACAGTGGCTGGGCGGCAAGTGGTTAACATACTGTCACCCTAGCAGTACAGTGTCACCATGGTGACACTGTACTACTTGTGGGGGGTGATGAAGATTTTATTTTTTTTTACATTGATTGCTTTTACACCCATAAAGGCTGGAAAAGCAATAACTTCTCATCTCTGGCTGCATTATTGCAGCCATTGAGAAAAATACTGTGAGAGCTGTGATTGGTCACAGCTTGTCACATGGTACAAGGCTGTTGTGAATAGCCCTGTACCATGTGATCTCTGTGACCATTCACAGATTTCACTAGTAGTAAGCAATGATGTCAGAAGTGACATCTTGCTTACTACTCTGCATGTGATCACTGATTGGCCAATGAATACCCATGCGATCCGATTCTAGTGCGGACCCAAAAAAGGGTCCTGCACCTTTTTGGTGCTGGTGCGGTGCGATTAGAGCCATACAAAATGTGCAGCTCTGATCGCACCGCACGCAAAATTGCATGTGATTTGCACAGGAATGCGGTGCAGTTCCTGTGCGAATCACATGCGATGTGCATATATGTGAACCCGGGCCCCTCGGTACAGGAATCCCTGAATATATTGGGTTATTCCCTTCCAGTAATCCTGTGTTTTATGGCAATCCCACCATATATGTGCCATTGTTCCCTCCCCCCCCCCCCCCCCCCACAACCTCTCCAACAGTGCGTTGATACCTCTACTTGTTATTTATGTGTCATACT